CGCCTTCTCCCTCCCTCCCGCCTCCCTCTCTCTCTCGCTCCTTCCCTCTCCCCGCCTCCCTCCGCTCTCCCCCGCCCTCCTCTCCGCGCCTCGCCTCCTCCGCCCCGCGCCCTGCGGTGCTGCAGCTGCGGGCGGCTCCAGCTGCCCCCAGATGTGGGCTGGGCGGCGCGCGGGGAACTTTCGCGCCGGCTGCGAGTGCGGGGCCCCGGCTGCGGTCCGGCTGCCATGGATCCGCCGGCGGGAGCCGCTCGCCGCCTGCTCTGCCCCGCGCTGCTGCTGCTGCTACTGCTGCCGCTCCTGCTACCGCCGCTGCCCGCGGACGCCCGGCTCGCCGCCGCCGCCGCCGCCGCCGACCCCCCAGGTAGGTGCGGCGCGGCCCTCACGCCTCGCGACCCCGGTCGGCCGGGCTCCTCCCCGCCCTGCGTGCCCCTCCGCCCCCTCCCCAGGCGTCGTCCAGCCTGACTTGGGCAAACTCCGCGCGCCCCGCCCGGGGCCAAGTTGGCCAACTTCGGGGCCGGGTTGGTCGCGCAGGGGGCGCCCTGCGGCGCACCTGGGCGTCTCGGGCTGCGGGGAGCCTCGGAGCGCTCGCGGCTCCCGGGACGCGGAGCGTGGAGACTGAGGGCCGGGAAAGCCCCGCGGCGGAGAGCGCAGCGCCAGCCCCAGCGTGTCCGGGGGAGCCAGGGCGAGGCGGCGCCCCGGCTCGCGTCCGGGGACGCTCGGGAGGAGTCGGGTGCGGAGCGCGCCGCCTTGGGCCCTGAGGATTGGTTGGGGCGACCCGGAGGGGATCCTCGAAGATCTGAGGGACCCTCCTTCACCCTCCCTGCCCTCGGGCACACGGGGAGGGGGGCCGGCAGCGGGCTAACCCGGAGCTGTACACGGAGGACAGGCCGCCAGTGCCCGGGGGAGCCGAGTCCTCGCCGCTCCGGAGGCGAGCGGTGAGGGCAGTCGGGCGGCGGGGACTGCTGAAGGGGTAGAGGCACACGGGTAGGGGGCCAGCCGGGTATGGCTTCGGAGCAGCCCCACGTACTGCCGAGGACTGTAGGTTGAAGGAGCGGAGGATGCTCTGACCGGGCCGTCCCTTGGGGAACTGAGAGGAGCCGCGGAGCCCCAACCCGGAACGGGGCAGGATGCAGAGCTCTTGGCTGGGAGGGTTCCAGAGGGGCTCGGCCCGGGGTCGGCGGGGGTTGGCGGGGGTCGGGAGTGGCGGCCCTGTTAACGCCCCTTCCCTGCTGGAAGAAGGCCGGGGAGGTGCAGGCTAGTTTCTGGGGGTTGCCTAGCGGAATGCCCTTCCCTTCGCAGTGGGGGAGGGGTTTGTGAGGATGCGGGACTCGGTGGCGGGGCCCTGGGGTTCCCAGGTCTCGACTGGTCTAACGTCCCTTCCCATTGCAGGCTGGCCCCAGGGGCACGGAGCGGAGCGCATCCTGGCGGTGCCGGTGCGCACTGACGCTCAGGGCCTCTTGGTGTCCCACGTGGTGTCGGCGGCGACGGCGCAGGCTGGGGTACGGGCCCGCAGGGCCGCCCCTGTCCAGGTCCCGGGTTTCTCTGGAGGCAGCGAGGAGGACCCTGGCGGCCGCCTCTTCTACAATGTCACGGTCTTCGGCCGAGACCTGCACCTGCGGCTGCGGCCCAATGCCCGTCTCGTGGCGCCCGGGGCCACGGTGGAGTGGCAGGGCGAGTCGGGCGCCACCCGCGTGGAGCCCCTGCTTGGGACCTGCCTCTACGTCGGAGACGTGGCCGGCCTGGCTGAAGCCTCCTCTGTGGCGCTCAGCAACTGCGACGGGCTGGTGAGTACGCACTTCTCTCCCTTCTTTCTGTCCATTGCCCTCTCCTGGGCTTTGGAAGCTGTTTATCTGGGAGCCCTGTGGGAGGGCAAGGCCTGTACTGAGGACCTTCTCTGCACCCTTGTGCTTAGGGACCACTGGGTACAGACTGAAGGGGTTGGCGGTAAGGCAAGTTGTTTCAATTGGACAGAGAGGGTGATTTACGCAGAGGGAAGGCCACATTTCCAAAGCACTTATCAAGTAGCAAAGTGTGGCCCTTATGGCTGCAGGCACAGGTCTTCATCTTGCATCCAGGTGTGTGTATATCTCTGTGAGTGCGTGCATCTGCACATGTGTTTTGGAATGGGTACTAGTATCTGAGTACCTGTGTACTTGTGTGAACATGTGAATGTGCCATTGTGTCTTGACCATGTGTGTATCTGCAGGTTTCTGTTCATTTGTGTGTCCGTGTGTGTTGAGTGTGTTGCTGTGTATTGTGGCCTGTGTGATATTTGTGTGGGGGCATGTGTGCTGGCAGTTGGTCTTCTCGTTTCTGTGTGTGCAAGTGGTACCAGCCTAGGGACCAGGCAGTGGTGCTGAAATACCCAGTTATCCCTCTGCCCCCTGGCTGACCGGGAACCACTGATTTTTATGCTGTGGTTTCCTGTTGGACTTCAGCTGGTTATTTGAAAAGTTGGTTTTCTCTCTCTGTTTTGAGCCAAGGGGAGCATTTGGAAATGCAGGCTCTGGTGCCCATGGGAAGGCCCTGAAGGACAGGAGAGGCTAGGTAGTGGGTCCCTTTTGGGACTGCCTGGGCCACTCAATGTGACCAGAGCCCTGGGAAGTTCTCCTGCTTCTGAGGGCCTAGGGGGACCATGGCCTGGCATAAGGGGTCCTCGGAGGAAGCCTGGATCAATGCTCAGGGAGGAGGCTGACATTGGCGGTGCTCCGTCCGGCCACCCTGAGGCCTGGCACGTGGCAGAAGCCACTGCAGTTTTCTATTTTGGATTGGGTGTGTGGTGGTCAGGCTGGCTGTGCTGGCCAGACATCTGAAGCCGCCCACCATGGGTTCCGCTCTAATTGCTGCTCAGGGGACTCCTACTCTGAGCAAGTGGCCTCTCTCCCAGTCTTGCTGGCCCCTAAGCCCCCTGTCCTCCGTCTCGCCCTGCAGGCTGCAGAGCCAGCAATTACACAGAGCCCCACAACCGCTGGCGTTCTTTTTATGGAGACACAGGAAATGTCACTTGTTGCTTCGGAAAATCACTGCCGTTGGCTGGATTTAGTTAGAACCTGGGCGTACTGCAAACAACTATAAAGGTCCTTGGAGGAGTTGGGTTAACACGGTGCAGCCCTTTATATCCTTGTTGCCTCTGAGGCTGCCCTGGACCTCATACGTGTGTCTGTTTTTACACTGGAGCTGAATTTCCTAAATAAAAGGAAATTGGTGCTGGGGGCTCGGGGGGTGGCCTGGGCTGGGGTGGGGGAGTTGACATGGAGGTAGTCTGTTGCTGGGCCAACTCCTGTGTGCTAAGTAATACTTGATGGAGAGCATGTCAGGGAGGCTTTGTACATGCATCATTCATTCTGTGATTTGTTTGTTCAGCCGGCACCTCCAAGCGCCATTGTCCACTGTGCTGGCCTGGTGCCCACCTGGGGCACACATGCTCAGCTGATGGGCTGGGGCCCACTCTGGTCAGGGCTTGGAAAACGTGCTCCTGGCGGCTATTTGAAGAATGAGTTGCCGGGGGCAAATGCACGTAGAGAAGAGCATATGCAGAGAAGTACCAGGTGTACCAGGAGTAACAGGTGCAGTGAGATATCACATGTACTGGACACACACTGGCAGAAGCGCAAGACACAGCTGGAGAGAAGACTGGAGTTGAAAGAGGGACTGGTGTCTGCCTGAGTGGCCTTGAATGTTGTCAGTGAAAACCGGCCTTGAGATAGTGGGGCAGCATCATTAATTCTGCTTCTCTTTTTCCTTCTTTCTTTCTCGTGTGTGTGTGTCTGTTCTGATCTTATACCACTTAATTCCTTAGCCCGTTAAGTCCCTCTGTTGCATCAGTGATAGGCCGACTTGCTAAGGGCCCCGGGGTTTAAACATCACGTTTCTGGTCCACAGAGACCCCGTCGGGGAGGATTCTTCATCCCTGGTTTACAGATGGGCAGCTGAGGTTCTGGGAGGTTGAGTGACTTGCCCAAGGCCACACAGCCTGTGGTGGCAGGAGTCTGTCCTGGTTCTGTCCAGCCCCTTCTGCCATGGTGCTCCCAAGTCTGGGTGGGTAGAAGCACCTGAGATGTAGTAATAGAAGCTGCAATCCCTAGGCACTCCCTCTCAATAGTCCTTACAAGGCTACATGCATCTCATCCTCCCAGCAGCCATGCCACACAGTACCCTTTCCTCTACAGCCCTACTCTTCCTTCATAGATAGTGAAGCACACTGAAGCAGGTGTGTCAGGCTGCAGTGTGTGCAGATCCCCAAGGATCTTGTTAAAATTCAGATTCTGAGCCTGTATGTCTGGGGTGGGGTTCAAGGTTCTGCATTTTTAATAAGCTACCAGGCTTGTGCTCCTGGGCTTTGGGACTGCCCTTTGAGAAGCAAAGCGCTACACCCCCATTGCTGCAAGGGAGTACAACAGGATTACACCACAAGTTTCTCTGAGCAAATGCAGTTCAGTGGACAACTGGTGTGGGAAACGCTGCACCTTTGCTTTCAGCCTGGGAGATTTAAGGAGGTCCACTGGGTTCTCTGAGAAGTTCTGTAATAAAGAAGCCTCTTCAACTCCAGGTAATGCGGTACTTCCCATGCAGATGGGACCATCAGCACCTTCTTTGCAGAACATGTGGAACTAGCCTTCCTGGAAGACGTGTGGAGAAACCATGGAGCAGGGTCACAGCAGGCAGCTGTGGTCTTACAGCTTAAGTTTAGATGCTTAGGTGGGACAAGCCTCTCCCAAGAGCCATAGGCCCTTTCAGGCCTATCGTCCTGCTCCTGGCCTGGGACACACATTTGCTCACATACTTGCTTGCTCCCGAATTTGTTTCTCTGCCTTAAAGGAAGGCAGTACTAGCTTTGTTTTCTGTGGACCGGAGTCTCCTAATCTATTCAGCACGAGGGGATTCTTAGGGTCAGTGTCCTTTCAGTCACAAGCGAAGGAAAACTCAAGTCAAATTAGTTTAAACAGAAACGGGCAGTTAGCAGCTCACATAATGGTCAGTCTTTAGGCATGGCTGGATCCAGGTGCTCCTGTCATTAGGACTCTTGCTGTCTCTTGCCTCTGCCTTCTTATGTGTCGGCTTTGTTCTCAGGTGGACTCCTTCTGTGGTAAGTCAAGGGGCCCCACTGGTGCTGGATGACATCTTTTTCTGATAATTCCAGCTGAGTCCTGGGTAGCACTCTCTTCAGGCTGGGGCCAGATGCTCCCATGAGAATCAGGACATGAGGTTTGCAGAACCCCATGGATGGAGAGTGCAAGGGGTTCTGCTCCCTATAATGATATGAGGTTGGAACCTGGGTGTGCCAAGGTGAAAATTCTACTAGAGTCAGGTAGAGGTACAGATTCAGGAAATGCCACGTGCTTCATAAGACATACCATATATTTTATTTCCAGAGAGGGTGGTAGGTGTAGTTTCCAGGTTCTTTTACGGTCACTAGACAGGTATTGTTCATCATATTCACAGGGAAAGGTTAACATTTGCCTTTTCACAATGGGTGAGAATGTAATGCTTAACAAAGGATTCTTGTATATCTCATTGCTATGGAAGAGTTTTCTAGTACCTCTCAGGCCACATGATAGGTGTACTAATTTCACATCATTCTTACATGCTCATTAAAAACCCAATGAGAAGCCTGTTGACATAAAAAGTAATAGCACAACGTCACAGTTCACTGTGACCTTATTATGTGCCAGGCTTTCTTCTGAGCACCTTATGCTGTATCACCTTGATTAATCCTCACAACACCCTATGGTGTATGCTGATATTATCCCCATTTTACAGATGAATAAACCGAGATAGCTTCAAGCTTTGCAGTCTGTATTTAAACGCATGCCTGTTTGGTTCCAAGCCCAGCTCACTACACGTTATTGCATTTTTTGCACACCAACAAAAAGAATAAAAACGAAGAAATGCATTTCTTTAAAACATTTCTAGCCAACTCCTGGAGACCTTCTCAGTCAGCGGCATTGACTCTTGTCAGTGTCAGTGAGTGGGAGCTGAGAGCAGGTCTGGTGGCCACGTGGCTTGGTGACTTGGCGCTGACTTGCTCTGCGCTGCAGCTCCTTTCAGGTGGCCTGAGTCCTCATGGCTAAGTGATGGCAGTGGGGACTCCAGTAGGATGGAAGCACCCAGCCATACCTCTGTCTCCTTCATGCAGTGCAGCTCAGGGGACCTCTCTGGCCTGGTGTTTCTGGTTGGCAAGGCCATTGGTGGAAGCGTCCATGGGCTGGGCAGTGACTCTGTGAGGCAGGCTCAAGGGTTGCTGCCTTGTGGGCTGGCGTTCCCCTGCTGGGCTGCCATCCTGGCCAGGCACCTGCTCTGTATAGTCTTGATGGGCATTAAAAGTCACTAAGGGCCACAGAGAGAAGTCATTTCCTGGCCTAAGGGACTGAATTAATTGAGTTTCATTTCTCGTAAAAAGGCTGCTGTCTTTTAGGCCACACACTGGGCTCCAGCTGGTTCAGGTGCTGGAATGTGGAGGGCAGGTGCAGCAGGCTTGGGCTGCAGGGCTGGGGGTGAGAGGTATGTGGGACTTGCAACTGCCCTTTGTAGGGTCTTCCTACCTTTCACCTTGCCTTGGCACTGCCTGGAGGGCAATGAGAAGGTCTCAGGAACACCAAAGAGGGGCTGCGGGAACGTCCGGGTTCCCTGGGTGTTGGGGCTGCTCAGGTCAGAGGAGCAGAGGTACCTGCTTGGCTCCTGTTCTTGGCAATCTACACAGCTGCCCAGGGTGGTCTCAGCCTCCTCCATGGCTTATTATTCTCCTTGTCGTTTAAGACTCATTCAGTTTAAGTGGCAGAAAACC